GTAGCTATTAAATGTCACCTCTTCATTTTTCATTCGAAATTTCATTTGCCCTCTTTCCATATTAACTAAAGCTCGCCCAGTAGCAAGGAAGTGTCTCACTAAGATGATAGGCACTTCAAAGTCGACTTCGCAGTCTAATATAAAAAAATTCAGCTGAAATATGAATGCCTCGACTTTATTTAGCACATCTTGTAGAACCCTGATTGGATTCTTTATAGTACGATCAGCCATAAATAGTCGCATAACAATTGGTTTGGGGGTTCCTAAATCCAACTTTTTTAACATAGATAACGACATCAAATTTATGCTAGCACCCAAGTCACACAGGGGCTTGGCAAAGTGTAACATGCCAATGGTGTATGAAATAATAAAGGCACGTTCCAGGATCCTCTTTCTTTTGCACTAGCAATCATGTAGCTATGGCACTCCAATATTGCAACTTATCATCACCTTTAAACCTGACAACTCTCTTTTTGGTCACCAAATCTTTCATAAACTTACCATAACCGAGCATCTGTTCTAGGGGTTCTATCAAAGGAACATTTATCGATAACTGTTTCAACATGGATATAAACCTGCGATACTTTCCGTCTTCAATTTTCTTCACCGGCCTTTGTGGGAAGGAAGGCGATGGTCTAAGCATTGGGATGATCATCGGCTTTTCCACTATCTCAACTTCATCTTGCTCCGGTTCCTTTACCCTTACCACACCAGTCGGCATATGAGGGCCAATAGTCTATTTTTCGCCCCTAGTAGTGTTAGGATTCTTAGAGAAGGATCGAGTCACAGTACAATCTTAATCAATTGACTTTGACTTTCCCTTGCCTTTGTTCGAATTCCTAGATCGACCTCTTTTTGTATATTACATCAACTCGTTGAAGGGAGACTGGAACCTTAGAGTTCAATGGATGAGAACTCTGATCTCTTGTTTTTTACTGAAACCTAAATCTTATTCCAAACTAATAATTATAGCATAACCTTTTTTTTTGAAATAGAACTATATCATAACCTAATCCTTATAAAACTATGAAACATAAACCCTATTCTAGAATAATAAATAAAGCTACTAAAATAATAATTAAATTCTTAATTTAAGGGCTTTCCACGCATCCACAATAGTTGCTAGGCAGTGTTCCTTGTTGATAGGGACTCACACTTGAAGATAGTTGACAACTCAATTGTTGCAATTGGCTTAACATATACTGCATGTTAATTTACCATCTGCCCAATACTTGAAAAATCAATACGCATATCTTTCACATGGTCATCAGTTGAGGTACACATTTTCATCATCTTAGTCATTATAGCCCTACACTCACAATCCATTCACCTGACCCCACATGAAAAATTAGTGCAATTCCCTTAATGCACAAATAATATAAAAACTTGAGGTTAGACAAACCTGTGGCTCACAAGCGCCGAAGAACTATTAAGAAGTTTGTCTTTGGAGCACCATGAATAGTACCCCTCGAGGCCGATTCTCCGACTGTTAACTTACGCTCTCGCTAGTGCCTAAACTCCTCATCTGCCTTTGATTTGTTTCCAAGCAGCATTTATTTGTATGTCTCTCTCTTGTAGCCTCGTCGCACCTCATCAACGTCACTAGGGGCATCATCCGCACACTTTATAGTCACACATCGCTATGTTTGCTCGGTACCTCTGCCATCCATTCACATTTGAGCCGCAGCCTGACTCAGACTGTGTCATGCTACGAACCCGAGCTTCCCCAAGTTGTCCCTCCCCACTACCTTCTCTCGAACTCTGTGCTCCCTCCTCAGACTAGGAAGAACCATCATGGCTCGAGGAGTCAGACTCATTCAGCACCACGATAATGGCTAGTTTCTAAATCAGTTGGCGTGTTTCCTCGGTGCCTTTGGTGAGTAATCCTCTAGGGCAGGGTCAAATTCAAACCAATTGAGTTTATCATTTGTGCGTTTATCAATAAGTTGAAGTTGGTCAGACGATGCGGTGGGTTTTGACCTTCGTCCATAAGTTTTGGTATTCATTGGTGGTATAGTACCTGTGGAAAAGTCATTAGTACCCAAACACATAAAACAAATCAAGAAATGAATGAAAATAAAACTATGAAACCAAAAGAAAATAGTAAAAATAATTTGCAAAAAAAATCACTGTTTGGTCCTACGATTGGTTCTTACAGATCGTAGAATTTCTACGGGCCGTATGACCCAACCTTACCAAAAGAGGTCAACTTTTTAAGTTGCTTAAGTTGAAATGACTAACGGTTTGTCAAAGGGTTTACGGACCGTAAGCCAAACCGTCATTCCAAACTTTGGCTATTTTTTGTGCTTCAAGATGATGGGACTTGATCTACAGTCGGTAGGAATTCCTACGTCCCATAGATCCAAGTCATCAATCCTAATATTTGGAGTTTTTAGGATCAACTTTGTATTAACACATCTTCAACATCATATCAGCCTGTTCCATCACAAACATGCATTTCAACATAGTAATTTTTAATGTAAATACGTCATCGATAAGGATTGTACTTATCAATTAATCACAATAACATATAGCACCATCACAAACCCTAAGTCAAGAACACAATTTCAAGTAATTTGTTTCACATATTTACACATAATCGACAACACTCGCATCTACTTGCTTCCCAAGGGTATACTTTAATTAATTTAGGCATACAAAACAAGCATCACATACCCTAGGTCAAGTAGCAACTTTGAATTCAAGTAATTGAATCTAGTTAGACTTAATTCCATACCTTTAGATGAATTTCCAAGTTGTACGAGTGCATCACTTAGATGTCTAGAACTTTTAAAGCCAACTTGATAATTCCACTGTCCCGTATTACCTTGAATATGAGTAAAGGAAATTTGGGAAAACTGGAAGAAAGGAGAGAAAAAAGGAGAAGCTGGGAGGAAAGGATTAAATAGTGGAAGTTGGAATTATAAGGGATGGAGTTTGTGTGTGAAATGGTGGGACATATGAGAGGTTGTAAGGGTTGGGAATTGAGGGAAATGGGGGATGATTTAAAATTGGAGGTTTTCATTAAAAAGGGTCTTGGGTCGGGTCATTATTTTAAAAAGACAGGTTTGACGAAAAATGATCTACGGTCAATAATCATTCCTACGAACTGTCGAAGGCCTCCGTCGTTCTACTCAACACTTAAACAAAATTCAAGAATACCTGGGTCTGCGCATGCAGACTACAGACCGTCAAAATTTAAACTGTTCGTATTGTGCATCCGTAGACTTAAAGTTATTATTGTGTTAGGACTTATATTCTACGGATGCCATCTATTGTTCGTTGAATGAGCAACGAATCATAGTTGGAATCGTAAAACCCTCTACACTTTGAAATTTTGCAGATTTTTCTTTCTTTCTTGCACATGTAGCAAACTTAGGACTTCTTTTTACATTTTCTTGACACCTTTTGGACACGGACCCTAAACTATCCTATTCTAGAAAAAAATCAAACCTAAGAACAAAAAATGTCAATAAAAAAATAATTCAAACTAGCTAGATTACATCTTGGGTTGCCTCCCAAGTAGCGCTTGATTTAACTCTCACATTTTGAATCTTGTTCCTTCCTCATTCTCAAGTTCAACCACTCTGTGTGATAACACTTGTACAACTCTGAATGGTCTCGTCCTCTTTTATTTGATATTGCCAGGAAATAAGGGCAGCCTGGATTTGAATAGAAGTACCAAATCACCGGGATCAAATTCTCGCTTTTCGATCTTTTGATCATGGTACTTCTTCATCTTTTCCTTATACACCTTCAAAGCCATATGAGATATACCATTTCCCCAAGTTGTAGGAAAAAACCTCATTTTACTTATTCTATTCATCACCTTGATTCTAATTTCTTCTAGCATAGACACAATTGTCTTATGTCTAGCTGCCTGCTAATATCCAAGCATTAAAACTTTCAACCATGTTACTATCAGAACTATCACATTTGAGAACTCCTTGAAGTACGCTTTGCACCATCTTTCAATGTCATATGTGATGGGATTTTCCACAATTTTTTTACCCAACTTACTTAACTCACCTTCCCTAACCTTCAATTCAGATTCAAATGTTTCCCTAACTCACTTCTAGAACTTTTTCCTTCTTTCAATACCCTTCCATTTCTTTAACCAGTTTAACAGTATGTGTCAAGTACACATTTTGTGCTCACAAGAAGGAAATACTTCCTCAGCAGCACTAATCAAATCTTACAATAAATCGTAAACAATGGTACGTATATGATGTAAAATCAGTAGTAACTAAGCAAAAATAAATAGTACAATAACTAAGAAACACAAAGTTAACATAAAACATCAATTAGACACAAAATAAGAATCGTCGGACTACACTGCAGTCCAACTCGATCAGAAGAAAGTTGGCATTTGGACCTTGTTTGCATTCCAGTTTTCAGTTCACCATAACATCCAAACTATAAATATGCCTGAGAGAAAATGGAACTCATTTGAAAACACAAGTTGTTGATTCCTAATAGAAAAAGATAAATTAAATTTTACTTACTGTTTGATAGTTATAACTACACATCCACAATACTAGATTCATTTCCACTATGAGCCATATCTACAAAAATATGAAATCGCTTTGAAGCCTAATAAACTTATCTTTCGAAGGATAACCCCTACTTTTTGTTGTACTTTCTCAAACTTTTATTAGAAGAGTGGTGTTTTTTCTGCTTCTTTGTAACAGTCCATCATATATCTTATGTAACTGTAGGTTGGGGGAATCGAAAAAGTTTATGAAATTGCCGTATATTCTGCAATGAAGGCATTTCAACTCGTCATTATCATGAATTCGCCTCCATTGAGGTAATAGCTCTTTGTCAAAGGACTTCTAAATATTTAGTTTATTAGGGTTCAAAGCGAATTTGCAAATCCATTTGGAGAGCATTTAGCCAAATAACTTCCTGCAAAATGATCAATAATCATTTTTAAATTGATTTTAGATGTATGAAGCATACTCTGTCTATGAAAGCATGATGAATATGGCAGAAGAGATTTTGACACGATGTGCCCTTGCAGTTAATTGAAAACTTAGAATTGATTACCAGGTAAGTACCATTTCCTCTAGATAATCTTCCTCAATAGTGTTTGTAATTGGTGATCATTCTTTGCATTTTCATGTATCTTCTCTGTCAAACATGATACAAGTCACTTACAGGACTACGTGTGGCAACTATTCTTATATTGAAGGCATAATACTGATAATTGATTAGACCTGTGGCTTCTGGCTTTGATTGTTCTTTTCAGTTCCCTTAAAAGACAACCTAGTTCTTTATTTATCTGACTACGAGAATGGACCATGAGTGATAAAAAGAATCTTGTGAACTTCAACTTTCTCAATAGCATTATGTTATTTTGTTTGGTACCTTTCCAATTTCCATTTATAGGGAGCTTCCTTAGGTGCTAACATCTTCTTTACTCAGCCATCTTGTTTCTCATGACCAAATATTATCTCATCATAACAAAATAATTTTGAATGGTTGAACAATGTTGGCCCAAAAATGTCCAGCTAAACATTTTTAGTTACTATTCGGATACCAGACCTATTTCCTTGAGTTGATGCAAATCATCTCGTCTTATTTTATCTTTTCCAGAGATCCTAGCTCATGCCTTTTCTTATGCTGCATATGTTTTCTTCGAGAATGTGAAATGTTTCTGCACTGATTTTGAAACATGGTCAGATTTACACATAATGACTTGAACTAACTTTTCAGTGAATTATTATGAGTTTTATGGTTAATAGGTTTTTGGTCCCACTTTTGGTATTTCGTTTTCTTTCTTCTCTCACCTTAACTTTAATTGAAGGAATCAAACTTTATGCTTTGGTGCAGGGTGTGGAGATCTGCTTGGAAAGACCTTGGAGGAGGGAAACAATGCATAATCTTCGGCGACGATTTTAAAGCTGCTAAAGAACATGACATAAAGCAATTGATATTCTTGGTGATGATCTGGATAAGAGTTCAATTGAAGCATGCTCTTCTGTTGGCCATTTGCTTAATGAGGTTTGAATAATATTCTTTAGAATTTTTTTTGTTCCCGTCTCCAGATACATAGAACTAGCAGCTTTTAACCGCATGCCAGTGTATCTTATTCGTTAAGATGGTTCTTTTTATGTGTACTGCTTTGTGATGTTACCATTTTCAGGTCTTTGAGATGATAGTAGAACCAAAGCTTCTGCAACCGACTATTGTCTTGGTCTATCCTATTGAAATATCTCCACTGGCCAAACCACATAGAAGGTGCACCAGTTAGCCACAATAGTCATCTATTCAGGTTATTTTTTTCTTTCTTTGTTATTTTATAATTATGGCTTTAACGCTTTTATAGTGACAATACTCATAAAATGATGATCCTCTCTCTCTATAACTAAAACTGACCTGTTTGGTTTGAAAATTATGTCGGCAAGTTGAGTTCATAATACCACTGTTACTGTTCGATCAGTGGTCTTACACCAATTACCACATAAAAACAAAACTTTCTAGCCCATTTGTATATATTGAAGGTGGTTGAATTTGTGGAGTTCACCTTCCGAACTCTGTACTCCTTCCTTAGACTAGAAGCACCATCATCATGGCTGGAGGAGTCGGACTCATTCGGCACCGGAATAATTTCTAGTTTCTTGGACTATTGGTGTGTTGCCCTCGGTGCCTTTGGTGAGTCATCCTGTAGGCTAGGGTCGAATTCAGACCCACTGAGTTCATTATCAGTGCAAACTTCAATAACTTGAAGCCGAGCTGAAGGTGCGGTGGATTTTGACCTTCTTCCATAAGTGTTGGTATTCTATGGTGGCATAGTATCTATGGAAAATTCATTAGTACCCAAACATACAAAACAAAGCAAGAAAAGAATGAAAATCAAACTATGAAACCAAAAGAAAGTAGAAAATTACAGTGTTTTGATCCTGCGGTTGGTTCTCATAGGACCCAACTGTAGGAAATGAAGTCAACTATTTTAGTTTCTGATGTTGGAATGATGATTCACCAATACGGTCTGTCTGAAGTTCTGCGCACTGTAATCCAAACCGTCATTCCTAACTTATAGGCTACTTCTTATGATTCAAGATGACGAGACTTGATCTACTGGTCATAGGAATTCCTACCTCTCCTCTATATAAGTCAGACGATCATCCAACTCAACCGCATCATACTGGAGCACATGTGACTTATCTGGGACAAACCGGCGCAACGTCAAAACATGGAAAACTGGACAAATAGCTGAGAATGCTAGAGGAAAGTCTAATTCATAGGCAACATCACCAACTGTCCTCAAAAGGCCCGATACATCTGAGGCTAAGCTTGCCCCGCATCCCAAATCCTATCCCTCCCTTCATGGGCAAAACTCACAGGAATGTTCTGTCACCAACAACATATCTCAACGATCGACGCCATTCTGAGCCTATCCCTAATCACCCTCACATGATCTAAGGCGTCTTGAAGCAAGTCTATACCACGCGGCCTAAGCTCGTAGACTCAAACGAACCAACCAGAGAGCGACAACCCCTACCATATAAGGCCTCGAATGGGGCCATCTAAATACTAGAGTGGTGGATGTTATTGTGCGCAAACTCACTTAGAGGCAAGAACTAGTCCCACTGATCTCCAAAATCCCTAACACAGGGCCACAACTATCCTCAAGAACCTAAATAGTGCTCTCCGACGGACCATTAGAATGCGGGTTAAATGTTGTGCTAAGGTCGACACGGGTGCCCAACTCCTTCTGAAAAGCCCTCCAAAAATCGGAAGTGAATTGTGAACCCCGATCTGAAATGATAGAAACAGGCACGCCATGAAGATGAACCACCTCCTGAATGTAGATACAAGCCAATATCTCGATACTGAAGGAGGTATGAATGGGAAGAAAGTGTGCTGACTTGGTCAATCGAAACACGATGACCCAAATGTTGTCAACACCTCTAGAAGTACGAGGAAAGCCCACAATGAAGTCCATAGTGATACCCTTCCACTTCCACTCTGAAATGGGTAATTTCTGAAACTCACCAGCAGGCCTCAAGTGCTCGGCCTTCACTTGTTGGTAACTCAAACAACTAGACACATATTCTGAGATGTCTCTCTTCATACAGCTCCACCAGTAATGATGCCTCAAGTCACTATACATCTTAGTTGTTCCCGGATGGATGGAATATCTAGAATCACGGTCCTCGCTAAGAATCAGCTGAATCAAACTCCCAACTCTTGGAATACACCATCGGCCAGCAAACCTCACAACTTCATTTGAATCTAAGGTAGCTGGCCCACCATCACCTGCCACTACCCTATCTCTGATTGTTGCTACAGACTCATCCTCAAACTGATGACCACGAACCCGATCTAGAAAAGATGACTAAACTGCCACAAAGGCTATTACCCGTCTGGAATCTGCAATATCAAGTTGAATCATCCGGTTGGCTATGGACTGGATGTCCAAGACAGAAGGTCGCTCTGAAATAGAAAGGAAGGCTAGACTACCCATACTCACTACCTTTCGCCTCAAGGCGTCCGCTACTACATTAGTTTTTCCCAAATGGTGGAGAATAGACAGATCGTAGTCCTTGAGGAGCTCAATCCAACGACGCTGCCTCGATTTAAGATCCCTTTGGCTCATAATGTACTGAAGGCTCATGTGAACAGGGTAGATCGCACAACAAACCCCGTATAGGTAGTGCCTCTAGATCTTAAGTGTTAATACTACCACCGCCAACTCCAAGTCTTGGGTGGGGTAGTTGCTCACGTGTAGCATAAGCTGCCTCGACTCATAAGCTATGACCCGACACAACCAAATTGACGCCCAGTGCATCATAATATACTGTGAAGCCCTCACCCTCAACTGGTAAAGTCAAAATGGGAGCGGTGGTAAGCAACTCCGAAAGCTCAACCCACACTTCTCTGATCACACAAAAGGGACATCCTGGCAAGTCATTCAAGTTAAAGGTGTTGCAATAGTGGAGAATCCATCAACAAAACGTTTGTAGTAACTCGCTAACCTGACGAAGTTAGGATGAATGAACCCCTTAACCTAAGAGGTCCTCAAGCTGAACACTGAGCTTTTTGAGCTCTGTAGCAATCAAAATGCATTAATCCTTGCCGCTCTACCGTGGGTGTGGGGATGACCAGTCCATGCCCATAATCATATCAAAATCTACCATATCAAGCAATATAAGGTAAACTTGAATGCTTCAACCCTTGCTGCTCTACCGCGAGTACGAGCCGTCTTGTGAAAGAGTGAAACAAGTAAGATCCCATGTAATCAATTAGACATACGATGCACGAAAAGGATACAAAATAGGAAAAATTTCTAACGACATCAGGTAGCCTCCCAAAGATAAGTCACAAACGTCTACACACCGATCCGTAGGACTATACAAGACGTTAGCTTTGTACAAGTGAGATTGGTGAACCTGGGCTCTGATACCAACTTGTCACGAGCTGATTCCTCTGGCCATGATGACGCTTACTATAACCCACCAGTAGGCAAGCCAACCCGTATCCCAATCTATTAGACTCTGCTACATCAGTCTACAGGGAGCTAAGTCTATGGCAATCACTAGCCTAAGCCTAGACTAAGTCCAAACATGCTCCAACAATATTCAGAAATCACAAATAAGGCACACCACAAGGTGAAGGTGATCAACAAATACAATAAACATGCTTCAACCGCCCAGAATATCCGAAAAGTAGCCTAAGGCATAGATTCTAAGAATTTAACATGATTAACCACCAATTCATAAAAATCAACATACAATTACTTAATCATGCTCAGTCTATGGAGAGGGAAGTCGTAGTCTACATATAGGCAGACCACGCGCGCTCCGAATCTCGTTTTCAGAGCTTTTCCTTTCGTATGGCCTCGGAACGTTGCCACACTATCAAAAATAGAATCATAACGTTAACACGGTTGTTTTGAAACCAAAATCGCATTTTCAGAGACATACCTAAAATCAGATCTAAAATGAGATTGTGGACCCTCATCGGGAATCCCAAAATCGACTCAGTGAAAGGGTTCGTTTTACCTCTCTGAACTTGTGTCCCAAAGCGGAACACCATTCGGGGCTCGCTATAGGAACGCTCTAAACGATGAAAACAAGACATTAAGATGAAAATGACCTGGAGGGTCATTACAATTACACAACCCGAATGACATCCTCTTGAAAGCACAAGTCCCATAAAGACAAGTGAAAGTGGTCTTCTCTTGGTCTTCCGGAGCTATAGAGATCTGATTTTAGCCCAAATACTCGTCAGGAAAACAACATCAGCCCTTTCTAGCAAAGACGATTTAACATTTGGTCCATGAACGACATTGGGAAGTGATCTTTCTCTGTACATACATTCAACTTGTGGACATGCAGACTCTCAGATTTGTTACAGGCCTCATCAGGACAAACTCACTCTTTGCGTTGGGAACCACAATTAGTCCTCACTTCATTGGTACACATTGAACTGGACACACCTAATTACTATCCGCGATTAGATAAACTATGCGAGCATATAGCCTCTAACCACCTGATAATCTCCTTTTCCACAACTTCCTACATTAGTGGATTTATTCTTTCTCTGGTGCTCAATACTTGGTTTACTATTAGACATGAGTGCAATCTTTTGAAAACATATCCCGGTGGAATACTAATAAATGTATGCAATAGTCCATCCTATAGCCCTTTTGAACTTCTTCAACACTTAAATCAAAGCCTCTACTTGCCTTCCATTCAAATCAGCAGCAATAATGATCGGCAATGTACTATTTTGGCCCAAAAAAACATACCGCAAAAGAGATTTGGAGCTTTCAGCTACAACTTCAGAAGCTCATCTTTAAATTGTTTTGTAGGTGGAGTTTCTCGTTTCTTCAAATATAGATCCAACTTCTTTGGTGGGTGACGAGTATAATCCACCCCATCAAGTGCAACAACTAACTCATCGTACTCGTCAATACATTCCCCATCAAAATTTTTGAGCACGACAGCTAAAGTATCAACACCTAATCTCTTCTCATTTAATACTTCTGGCTTGTTCTCAATAATATAATTCAAAATGGTCACTCCTTTAAGATCACTTCGATGCTTCATTGATATGCAAATATTAAATGTCACCTTTTCATTTTTCATTTGATATTTCATTTGCCCTCTTTCCGTATCAACTGAAGCTCGCCTAGTAGCAAGGAAGGGTCTC